TTTTTTGCTTGTTGTTTAGTGTGGCTTATTGCTCACACTGTTTGCTTTCCAATTTATGTCAATAAACATTAAAGTGCCCCTATTATGCCATTTTTAAGGTTGCTCATATTGTTTTATTAGTCTTCTAAAACAGGTTTATATGCATGCAAGGTAAAAAAAAAATACGTTAGTTTTCTCAAAAAATTGATTTAATTTTACCTAATTTCTAAATGATTCATAAACAACTCGACATTGCTTTTGTTTCTGCTAAAAAATAAATAAAAAAAAAATAGACCCTGCTCCGGAGTAGGAGCTAATTTGGTTCTCGAAAAAGGCAGTCCGGTACTAAAATCGGTGCAAAAATGCCAAAAAAGTGGGTAGTTCCACAATTCTGGTACTATGAAAAGGTTCCCTAATACATAGAAAAGATGGTATCGATTGTACCTTACCAATTCGAGCCGGAGTCTGATGATGAAACGGTTGAACTTGCTGATCGACAAGAGACTGATTCGCAAGCACGACTGGAGCAGGACGTTTCTCAGTGGGCAGTAGGGATGTAACGATTAACCGCGAGCCGGTTGAAAATCGATTAAAATATGTGACGATTCAAATTGGTTGAGATGCTAAACAAATCACGATTCAATTAGGTTTAGGAGTTTATATGAATGGATGTCTGAGGGAAACTTACTGTCTTTAGAAAAGTTTAGATGGTATTTTTTCTTTTCATCTTGCCTCTGTATAATGTATATTCAAGTTCATAAGTTCCGTGTTGCTTTGTTTACAGCGGAAACCAAGGAAACACTTTAAGCGCCACCTACTGGCAGAGAATGAATCTGCTTCTCATTCAGCTCGTCTGCTGTTTGTTTCATGCAGATATTTTTGTATAAAAGCCTTATTTTGTTTATATGAAGAAATGTATTTTGTGTTATTTATTTTATTTGGGGCTTGTTTGAAAATGTTAATTTAGTTTTGTTATTTATATATTAAAATTTTGTTATTTAGCAGACACTTTTATCCAAAGCGACTTACAAATGAGGACAATAGAAGCAATCAAAACTAACAAAAGAGCAATAATATACAAGTGCTGTATTAGTATATTATTATAGTGTTATATTTCAATTTCACAAAGAAACTTGCAGCATTTTGTCCAAGCAATAATAAAAGGACACTTGTTTATAATGTCTTAAATCTCATTTTGTAAAAAAAAAAAAAAAATCGTTAATCGAATCAAATCATGAGTTGAGTGAATCGTTACATCCCTAGTGGGAAGTGTCAAGTGTTAACAAGTTTGTGGTAGTTAGAAGATGTGATAAAACAAATTTACTCTCACAGCGTAGGTGTAACGGGGCTGACAAGACGTGAGACGTGCGGATCCATGTGCAAGCTTTTATTAAAGCAGAAGAGGTCAGAAACACAGGCAGGGTCGAACAATGGCAAACAGGTATATGGAGGGCAAGACAAGAATAATCCTAGGGCTAGCGTAGTGAAGAAATTTATTTTGTGTTATTTATTTTATTTGGGGCTTGTTTGAAAATGTTAATTTAGTTTTGTTATTTATATATTTAAATTGTTATTTAGCAGACGCTTTTATCCAAAGCGACTTACAAATGAGGACAATAGAAGCAATCAAAACTAACAAAAGAGCAATAATATACAAGTGCTGTATTAGTATATTATTATAGTGTTATATTTCAATTTCACAAAGAAACTTGCAGCATTTTGTCCAAGCAATAATAAAAGGACACTTGTTTATAATGTCTTAAATCTCATTTTGTAAAAAAAAAAAAAAAAATCGTTAATCGAATCAAATCATGAGTTGAGTGAATCGTTACATCCCTAGTGGGAAGTGTCAAGTGTTAACAAGTTTGTGGTAGTTAGAAGATGTGATAAAACAAATTTACTCTCACAGCGTAGGTGTAACGGGGCTGACAAGACGTGAGACGTGCGGATCCATGTGCAAGCTTTTATTAAAGCAGAAGAGGTCAGAAACACAGGCAGGGTCGAACAATGGCAAACAGGTATATGGAGGGCAAGACAAGAATAATCCTAGGGCTAGCGTAGGTCAACTATTGGCAAACAGAATCAAAAGGGCGAGACTAGAGGGGATAAATCCAGGAAAACAGGCAAAGATCAGAAACCGGGAAAACAGACAAGGCAAGACTAGGCTGGGCTGGGCTGGGCTGGGCTGGGTTGGGCTGGGCAACTAATGAGGGCTCTGTAAAGTAGCTATCACTGCTTGTGATAAGCGCATACAATACTCGGCAGAGAATGGTTGTTTGAGTGAGTGTTAAATAGTGAGTGAGTAATATGAAACAGCTGTGTGCAATCAGTGCTTTGTGCAATCAGTGCAATGAATGATGGGATATGTAGTCCGGGATGATATGCAACAGTTTGTGTAGTGCGAGAGTCAATGTAATGGAAAGGGTGACCTCTGATGGCAAGCAGACGGAAGTTCATGGACTGGATTCATGACAGTAGGATACAGCGTCTTCTCGACATGATGTTAACCACACAGAAATGTTACTGTTTGTGGGCGGGCAAGTTGGCGACGTAACTTAGAACGTGGGCAGACATTATGCAGATGTGTTACTTCGTGACGTAGAGCCATAACAGAATAAGATTCTAATTCCTGACGACTCATTTTTTTTAGACAATAACTTTATTTATGCACTGTCGGCTTTACAACTTTGCAGATAGTTTATGTTCACATACAGCTACATGACACACTGCATGAAAGGTAATATTCGAAAAGGCATAATAGGGGCACTTTAACATACACAAATGTGTGTCACTAAAATCTATTACAGTACATGCAGGCACCCCAACTCTGTCATGTGAAGTGAGTTCAGGGAGGAAGGATGAACTGTTGGCTGTTGCAGATTTAATACATATGTTTTGGTTATGTCCATCCATAACTTATTTTTGGCTATCAATCTTTAATTGTTTTTCTTTAGTGACAAAGAAACAGATCAAGCCTTGCCCTTTGGTTGCACTTTTTGGACTTCTTTCAAATGTCACTGGTTTGCCTGGAAATAGCCTACTGCAAATAATAATAAATAAATAATAATAATCTTAACATTATTAGCTGGACGGCGCATTCTCCTGCTGTGGAAACAAAAATTCCCTCCATCTTTCGATGACTGGCTGAGAGATGTCATGAGCTTCATTCATTTGGAAAAAAATTGGTATACGGTTAAGGGCAACACTGGTATATTTTCTGAGATCTGGGATACCTTCATTATTTGTTTTTTCTGAATATGTCAGTACTTCTTTTAGAGTGTGTCAACCTAAGCATTAAGATGTTATTATGATCGTGGCTTGAATCTGGTTAGGAGTATGTGATTATATGTGTGGATGCTTACGTTTGTATATGTTTATACTTTATAGCTGTAAGGTTTTGTTTGTGGATGTATATGCATACATTTGATAAATGGTGGAAATGTCTAAACTTCTATACTTGAGACATTAGGCTTGACATTCTTTGTTTTACAATATGTATTGAGTTTTTCCTATTTTATTTATTTTTGGTTTTATTTAGTGTGTTTAATTACGCTTAAAAATTTTTTTATAATATATATAAACATTTTCCTCTGGGGGGTGGGTGGGGGGCGGGGATATTTTTTTTCACGATTCTCCTGTATCTGTATCCAGTTATTGTTGTAAAAGTTCAATAAACAGATTTTAAAAAAAAGAAAGAAAGAAAAAAACAGTTATTTTATGTTTCTGAAAGGTTCTTTGGGGAACCAGATTTAGTTTTTTATGCAATTGCTGCAAAAAACAGTGTATGATTGAACAAGTTTATGCACAACATTAATGCAATAAAACCATTTGCCTAACAATCATCCAGCACAAACATGTCAACATGATGTAATCATATTAAATTAAGTAGCCTACCCGTTACTGATACAGTTTATTGAGAAATAACTACTTTAAGTTGAACTATGTACTCTCCTCGCGTTGTTAGAGTGAGTCCCAGAAGCGGGACTTTGCGGGCCAGTTGGATTGAGATCAGTACTCATCTTGCCCCCAAAGTCCCGTCACTGAAATCACAGTGCATATTCAAACACTGACAGATAATAATAAGCTATTATGACTAAATAAATGTACCACAATTATGACTAAAGCATTAATTTCCTCTGTAATTTGATATACAGCAGTCTCTGAGCACTAATACTAACCAAAAAAAAAGTTTTTTTTTTACTAACCACATCTTATTGTGTATTACTGCCATTAGACATTACTTCGACACACTCATCTCTGAATGATTACAGAATACTTCCTTTATGGAGGACTGTTTCCTGATCCTTGAGAGTAGCCTACAATGCCGGTGTTCTGACAAAGAATGATTACAGAATACTTCCTGACTGTAACACTGAAACATGCATTTTCTGTGAAACTGCTTTAAAACAATATGTACTGTGCATTGTGCTACAATATGTAAAAGTGCTATATACAGATAAACTCGAATTTAATTGAATATGGCAAATGCCCTGCATGTTCATTAATTTGATGTTCTAGGCTTGTTTCTATCACAGCAAGTGTCCTTCTTTAGCCACGGCTTCAAGTGAAAATGTTACACATGCAATAACATATCACAGTGGCCACAAAAGCGATCACATGAACTTTTCAAGCCTATGATTTGAGCAAGGCTTTATTAAAACGCTATCCGACCTATTAAGGGCTGTTTGTTAGGAGACAACTGGGCGTCAATTGAGTCCCAGACAGTGTGTTCGCCTCCAGAGAGTTCAGGTACTCTCTCAGACACAATCTGTCTGCCTCTGTCGGGAAGCAACATCTTCGAAAAGCAGCAATATGCACCTAAAATGTCATGCTGTTGCTTTAAAAGACGCATCCCGTTGGCGATCTCCGTGTTAAATTTACCCGCAAATTCTCATTGTAACGTTTAGCAGAATGCCTATTATGCCATCATCAGTGGAATTAATAAGCATTCCGATTCCGATCACACCTGACATTGAAAACACGCGCAAACGCACATCGACGCAATATCGCTGGAAACTTACCTCGAATGAATAAAGACGCGCTGTGGGGCTGAAAGAAACATGTGGCTGATGTGAATCACATATTGTTTCTTTAAGTGCACGCTGTACGTGCTCCCGCTAGTGAGATGAGCAGCAGACTGACTCTGTGCATGTTCAGAGCTCTCCGCTCGCGCATTGCTTCATGCTCACGCTACTAGGCAAGCAGGGGCCGTTGCAGGGGGAGATGCCATTTCCAGCAACACACGCCAATTGTGCGCTAAATTCCTCGTTGGCATTCTCGTCTATTAATGATCATCAATGGGTGGCAGTATGTAAAATCGCTCACGTGCTGCCCGATGCTTTTCTTTTGCTTTAAAAGGGAGCGAAGTTAAACACGTGGAACTGGATATGGAGCTGGCAGTTTCTATTTTCCTAGAAGTCTCATTTCCAAATATAGAAACTAGGAAGGGACGTTCTTAGAACCCCCGAGTCGTTATGGCCGAGTTTACTTCTTTCGGCTAAATAGCCTTTTCGTCGTAGCATCCATCCATTTAGGTTTGTTTTGTTTTTTGTTGACTGGAATGTCATGTTAGTTGAACTGAGGAGCTACACTGTATTAATGATGCGGTTGTATAGTGTATGTAGTTCTATATCGCTCTTGTTCTGCGCTGAACGTCACACGTCTGATCGATGTGGAGTCTATAAACGCATGAAAATATGTGATTTATTCATCCGCAATCAAACCTGTAGGATCGCTGCTCTGGTTTGTTGTTCTCTGTCGCCCTCTGTTGCTGAGATTGCTAAAGAGGAAATGACCGTGACGTCACACCGCAGACTACCGCGCTTCCGGTTTCCCCGGACAGCAAGAGTGTGCTGCTTCTGATACACCCATATTAATGATTTATTACTCGTACTTGCCGTTTTATAATACAGTTTTATTTTATATTAATAATAATTTGAATTCGTCAGGCGTGTTACAGGTTGTTGAATAACGCAACATTTCTAAGCCTAAGAAATAATGGCATATAAAAGTGAAAAAAATAAATAAATAAAAATAAAACTGAACTTATTCATCAGGCCAACAAGATTTGTATTTTTTAATACACATTTCACCACATTGTGAGTTGGTATTCTTTACATCTAATAACTGCTCTCTTTTTTTCTTTTAGAGTCAGATTTTTGATTTATTTATTTATTATTATTAATTATTATTATTATTATCTAAATGCAAGTCAGTCATTCGGATCTTAGCCGAGGCGATCATGCATATAAATTAGGGATGGGAATATTCCCCGATTCGCTCGGTGCATCAGCATAAAAAGTTAGCGATGAGATGCATCGGTTTAAAAAGTGTGTATCGGCTACAAGTCGGCATTTGTATCGCGATGCATCGTTTCTAACATATTTGCAAAAATCGGTCAAAAACGGTTTTTTTTTTACTAACCACATCTTATTGTGTATTACTGCCTTTAGAAATTACTTCGACACACTCATCTCTGAATGATTACAGAATACTTCCTGACTGTAACACTGAAACATGCATTTTCTGTGAAACTGCTTTAAAACAATATGTACTGTGCATTGTGCTACAATATGTAAAAGTGCTATATACAGATAAACTCGAATTTAATTGAATATGGCAAATGCCCTGCATGTTCATTAATTTGATGTTCTAGGCTTGTTTCTATCACAGCAAGTGTCAAAATCGGTCAAAAACGATTTATTTATATATAATTACTAGATGCGATATACATTTATTATTTAGAAAGTGACCAATAATCTGTGATCTATGTATTTGTTTGTCTCTCATCACCGCTGCTGCTGCGTGAATCACAACTGGGATTAAAGTCCAAAACCTGACTTGAAATAACCTAACAAATCGATCGGGGCTAAAGCGGTTCCATTAACGACAAAATTAAGTTCACACAATCTCACTAATTTGTGCACGCTTATTCTTAAGCAGCCCTTAATGTCGATCATGGATCAAATTGATGGCAAACAGCGAATATATCTGTGCGGTTTAATGCATTTGAGACGTTGTGGTTTCCTCAGTGCATAACTGACATGTCACAGGTATATTTTTAATCTGTAAATGTTAGAAAGTCATGCAAATATATCAATTTTGCGGTCAGGAGTGGGCGAGGCTTACGCGAGTGAACGAGCGCTGCTGCGCGCATGCGCACTAAACAGACAGAGCGCAATCGAATAGGAGCGCAATAATTCTGAGTAAAATATACATTTTGCTAAAATATTTGTTGTTAGACATTAAATTAAATTTGTGGTTAAACATGTACCCACGATCAGTTAATTAGGCTGAATTCCAAAATTACAAGATTCTCTTTTTAAACAAAATGCTTTAAAGTTGTCAAGCCATCTCCCTGTCAATGATATTCATTTAATTACTATTTTAATTACTATTTCTATTAATTTTTAGGCTGGCCTCAAATGGACTCTGCTTGTAATTTAAAAATGCTCCCTTCATTTAAATTAAACACTTTCTGACTGTGTGTTGTTCTACACCCCAAAAATAGAATGGTATCTGGCTGTAACAGAGCTAATAAAATGCTTTCACCAGGTCTCCCCTTTATAACACCATTTTCAGGCTTGACCTCAGAATGAAGTGGTAAACTTTGACAAAATATGATTTCAAATGTTATAATAGTGGTTTTATTATGTCCAAATAAAAATCAAACCGCAAAACTCAGTGAGTAGAATGAGCCGAGGAAAGTAAGTGGTCCTCTGCTGCCATCTTCTGGTTATTAAATCAGTGAATGAAACTATTAATCTTTTTGTGATCAATCTTTTTCATATTTTTTGTCAGATTTGTCCAGATCATCTGAAAAGAGTTCACCTGTGCCATGTAAGTAATTGAATGTTATATTTAGATGTGTAAATATATGGTTAAGATTTATTTAGTTGTGTTTGAGTCAGGGTGTTGTGAGTGGTCAAGTAGGGCTAAAATGAATATTAATTTTACTGAAATTAAACTGTACCGTTGCACAAGCTGTGATACTTTCCAAAGAGTGCATTACAAAGTAGTGACCATGCAGGGTGCCCAAACTTTTGTAGGCCTTTTTCTTTTCTTTTTTTTTTTTACATTTTTAAACTGTAAAATTAGATTAGTTTAAAATTAAATCTACAACATAATAAAGTCTGCAAAAAGTGAAAAAGTGGTCTGAATACTTGGATACTACTCTGAAATGATTGTTTAACCACATGCAATGATATTTTTTTCTTCTTCATCTTCTTCCTACCTAGTCTTTATGCTAAGTTAAGATAACCAGCTTCATGTTTAAATAGGCAAACTTGTGCCACATATACCAGACTGACAATTTTTAAAATATATATACTGTATATATTTTCTGCAAATACTGCAGGGTGCTGGATGGAGAAACTGAGAAGTTTATACACGAATGTCTTGGAAGAAGAGAGCAGGCCCTACAACAAAGAAATTCTTCTTAAGGTAGGCTTCAAATGTTGTTACCATTTACCATTGAGATTACTGAGATCTGACTAACTATGTGTCAATATGTGTCCCTGCTTTATCTCTTTCTTTCATTCATTCTGTCCCTCTTTTAGGATAAACTTGAGGTCCCGAATGTTCAGGCACGTGTTTTAAATGCAGTGTTTTTTCCTGCATTTGTTGATATCACCTTTTCAATAATAAATTCTCATATTTCTTATTTTTATATGGTGTCATTCTTTCTGGGGGTGAGGGGGGAAGAGCATGTGTGTGTGTGTGATATTAGTGGAAACAACATTGTTATAAAAACTGGAGGAAGTCTTTAATAATACATTTTTGTAGTTTTTAGCGAACCAATTAATTACATGAACAGTTATACTATCCCAAGTAGCCTACTTAATTGAGCAAACAAGCTAATATTGCTTTGGTAAATTTTGTTGTTATTATTAATTAAATAAATATAGGTCTGTATTTCATATACATTTCCATTTGGAATCCAGAATCGGGCCAGTACCGGCTAATTGTATAATCTATGCTGGCGTGCTTGTGGCCCGATGCCGGCAGTGTCGGCTCAGATTCGGCAACCGGACTCGGGCCGAGTTATTTCATCCGGCTTGCCGGATTTGGGCCGTTTTTGGGCCAGATCTTTTTGGCTACCTGGGAGTCTTCTTCTCCGTGTTTAGTGCATTTCTGTGGCAGAATTACAGCGCCACATACTGGTCTTGCATGTATACGACATCGTTTTGTGTCTGTTTTGTGGTTTCGTGTGGACACAGATGTTTCTTGAGACGAGGGGAATAAAAGATCGGACAGGGAAAGCTCTGGCTTCGTGTGGACGTGGCCTTAATGAGATTTCTCATGATATATGCGCTTCTGGTGGTGTCCAGCCTGCTCCAACACACCTGCCTGATATTTCGATCAGCTTGATCAGGTGTGTTTGATGAGGGCTGGAGCAAGTAACGTTATGTCTCCAGCAGCAGAGCTGATGACCCCCGGTAGAGACAAGTCTCATTCCTGAGTGTATTTCGTTCCCAAGGTCTTGAGGTAGACGCAACATTTTGCTATACATGTTTTGCTCACCAAGCCCATGCAGTATGAGTCTATGTTGGACTGTAATGGACTTAAAAGGCACGGACGGGGTTCGAACCCGCGATCTTCGGTTTACGAGACCGACGCCTTACCACTTGGCCACCGCGCCTGCGCCCTTAAGACACAGTTTCCTTTGTTATTTCTCACCCAGTTTACAGTATCGAGCCTAAGATTTCATGAGAACAATAGCCTAGGTCTTTAGCCTAGGACACCAGACTGCTGGATACATCAGCTCACATCTGCTTTGCTCTGTAGGAATGTCGAGTATGAGCATCCATAAGAGAAATGTATGTGAATTGTATGTTTTGAAGTGTTTTAACGCTGTCAGTGGATAGAGGTAGTATCAAAGGTGTCGTATTTTACATAAAATGGTAATTTTCGATCACTTTAGTCCAGAAGAAAACAGATTCTTTTTAATGATTCATTCGTCTGTTAGAGTCGGCTGTAAGAACTCTGTTTGGGACTAGACCCAAAACTATGCTGTGTGACGTGTGGAAATGATAAACAACTGACTTTTGACACATGTAATTAACTGACATACAAAAAGAAAGCCAGTATTTCACATTTGTTTACTTCTGGAAACGGTGCGTCTAGTGTCTCATCGAATCGCTGTTTTGAATCAGTTTGTTGCGGTGAATTGTCCGAGTGAACCGATTCGCTAAAATGCTTTGGACTTCCAAAAAGCTCAAAGCGCATCTAGATCGTTCTCGTTGCATATGAATCGTTGCATCCACCAGGGGAGGCTGTTGAATCGTGGCTTTACTTATGATAAAAAGCATAGTAGAGAGTTTGTTGGTGCACTGTCATGATTTCCATGCCCATAATATAAATTGAGCTTCT